TGGTCTCCATTTGACTATAGCTCCTGGCATTTTAGACAGTCTTCCTCCCAGATAGGAAAATATCCTTTGTAATTAAAATCAGCCTCTATTTACTGACTTTTTTTTTTTTCCTTCAAGCAACATATGACTCTACTTAAAGTAGCTGTTGGGATAGGAGAGAAGGGAACAATCATTTCTTGACCACTGAATATATGCCAGCCACTGTGCTATGTATGTACAGTCACATGTGGAATTACAGTATGGAAAAACTGCATTCATGATACTCATTAAGTGATGGGTCTGAAATAAGCAACATACTAGGTAACTCTTGAGAGCATATAAACTTGTTTTCTTGGTCAGGTACATTTAAGAGGCAGTGGCCCATAATACTATATATAAAACTTCATATATATATATACACAACTAACACTTTCACTTTTTCACTTTCACACACATTGTATAGAGAGATAATTTAAAGAATATCTATTAATTAACTTAAATATTTATACAAAGTATGAAGTGATACAGCATTTAAAGATGCAAGATATAACCTTCCTATTAGCAGTTTTCTATCCAGATGAGGAAAATAAGTTATAGGTACAAGAAAAACCAACTAAGTACAGGAGTGAAAATTACTTAACCTATCAATACAATGTGTATAATAAGGCAATCTATAATTAATTACATAATCTTTCAGATTGTAAATGCTGTAGTTGTTCAGAGGAAATGATTATTGATCTCTGACCCTTGATTTTGTTACCTGTAACATGCATATGATACCTGTGTCATAGTGAGAAATGAATAAAATAGGCATGTATTGCCCATTACTTAATGTGTGAAAGTGGTCATTGCTCAGTTGTATCTGACTCTTTGCGATCCTGTGAACTGTAGTCTGCCAGGCTCCTCTGTCCACGGAATTCTCCAGGCCAGAGTACTAAAGTGCATAGCCATTCCCTTCTCCAGGGGATCTTCCCCACCTGGGGATCAAACCTGGGTCTCCTGCACTGCAGGCAGATTCTTTACCGTCTGAGCCACCAAGAAAGCCCATTACTTAGTGTACTTTAAATAAATTATAGCTGTGCCATTGGCAAGGAAAATGCTGATGATGTGGTGACAACAATAATACTGTATTAGTGTAGGTTGACTGCTGTCACTACCCAAAACCTCGGTAGTTTAACACAATCCATGTTTATTTCTCACTCAAGTCACAGCTCTGTGTGTGTTGGCAAGGACGCTCTCACTTTTCCCAGTCATTCAGGAGTGAGATTTTGTGGCTTTGCTCACTTCTTGTTGCTTGGAACCCTCTCCATTTGACCAGCAGAGGGTATGAGAGATTGAGGATTAAGAAAAGGAAGTTTCTATGGGCCAAGCCTTGAAGTGGCATCCAACATTTCTGTTCACGTTTTAGGACTCAGTCATATGGTTATACCTTACTACAATGCGTATTGGGAAATTTAGTCTAACTCTGTGCTCAGGAGGAGGAGAATGTGAGTGTAGGTGAGCATTGGCAATCTATCATAGATAATAATTAAGGGGCTTAATAGAAGAGAGCTTCCTTTGTAGCACAGTCGGTAAAGAATCTGCCTGCAGTGCAGGAGACCCGGGTTCGATCCCTGGGTTGGGAAGATCCCCTGGAGAAGGAAATGGCAACCCACTCCAGTATCCTTGCCTGGAAAATCTCATGGACAGAGGAGCTTGGTGGGCTGCAGTCCACGGGGCCGCAAAGAGTCGGGCACGACTGAGCGACAAAAGAGAGAACAGAAGAGGAGGGATTTTTTTTCTGGATCTTTTATATTTTTTTCTGGATCTTTTAGAGGGAGATACGTAATAGACTGTTCAGCCTGCCCTTAGGTAGCATTATTTCAAGAGGAAGGATAGAACTTAAAAAGCCTACAAGCATTGTTCATAAAAATTACACTTTTGTTCCATTAGCCACTGCCTTTATTGTAACCCATTTTGTAGTGACCTTGGACAAGCCATCTATTTTAGATCCCTATTTCCTTCCTTATTAATGTTGTTCATAGGACTGCAGTGAAAATCAAACAAGACTGGGCCTGTCAGATACTTAGCACTGGGTCTAGCCCAGAGTAAACACTCAATGAAAGTTATTATTATTGATAATGTTAATATGTATGACTCCAGAACTAAATAGTTGCTAGCTATTCATTTCTCTTTCCTAAAGGACCACCTCGAGTAGCGAAGAATGACTTGACTGAGTTTATTTATATGAAGTTTAGAATTCTGGAACCCCAGTTTGGTAATAGGAGATTAATGTTCCCCTGGCAAAATATTAGAGGAGAAACCCTCTCTGTCCCCAGGCTTGCATCCTTCCATTCAACTTCACAGACTTTCTGTTCCTCTCGGAAGAGGATAACAGGAGTATTGGGCTGTAATTTACCCCTCCTCCCTCCTTCCCGGAATTCTATTGTGAATTTGTCTGAGAAGATTGAGGTTAACGTCAGAAGAGCTACTTTTTGCTCAGGTCTGATGGCAAGTTCTTAGCAAGGGAAGAACACCCCTCCCAGGTCCGTGTTACTTTGAGTGGAGGGGGAATTGTCAGAGCCTGTGGTTCCATTTAACCCAGTTCTATTCAGCAGGCATTTATTCACAGCCCTGGGGAAACAAGATTGAAATGTTGCAGACCTTGCCTCTAAGAAACCCCCTTAGGGAGGTGAGTTTCTTGAAAGGTAGGAAGCAAGGAATTCACGGTGGCAGGAAGAGCAGCTGTGAAAGAATATAGGTGGGAAGGAATGACAGGAGCTCACCTCGTGGATGCACCTGCCTCGGGCCTGCCCCTTACTGGTCTCTCCTCACAAGCCTCAGTTTTCTCTCTGTTAAAGGAGCAGAGTAACAGTTCCAGCATCACAGACCGGGGAGGATCGAGTTAGATGACACACACACAGGGTTAGTGTGAAAGTGTCACTCGCTCGGTCGTGTCCGATTCTTTGCCTGCCAGGCTCCTCTGCACGTGAAACTCTCCAGGCAAGAATACTGGAGTGGGTAGCCATTTCCTTCCACAGAGGAATCTTCCCAACCCAGGGGCTGAACCCAGGTCCTCCCGCATTACAGGCAGATTCTTTACCATCTGAGCCTCCAGGGGAGTTAACGACGGGTTAATAACACTGGGAACATAGTAAGTGCTTGGTTCGTGACAGCTGCTCCTATTGTTACTGTTTTCATGTGCTTCTGTGAATCAACCTGTGAACCCACTGACTTGACCAAGGATTTTTCACAGACAAATTAGGGCACTGGGAATTCTATTACACTTTTGGTTCTCTCTTAGGGTTCTGGTAAAATAGCGTACTATAGTCACAACTGATGGAAAAATGGCCTGCTGACCCCTGAGCTAAAAGGATAGAGAATCCAGTATATCTCAGAGAAGTCTGGGAGAGTTGGGACTTGAGATGAAAGAGCAATGAGACCTGAAAGGGCAAAGGAATGACTATGTTGAACCCTTTGGGGAAGAGAGGGGCTGAATGTGGGTGTATACACAGAAGCTGTCAGAAAACAGAGGCTCCTTTAAAAATGTTAAGACTCCACGTAAGGAGTTTCATGGAGGGTCAGGAAAGCCCACGACTGACTGCAGGGCACTAAGATGTATCCTTGAAACCTAGGCAGAGATGCTGCAGTCCTTCCTAGCAAGTGGCTTCAGCTCCTTCTCTACCAGTCCTGTTTTCAGGCTGGTTTGGTGTTGACTGGAGTGACCCTTAGAGCAGTCCCTCTGGCTCAGGAGTTCCAGAAACGTCACAGTGTCCATGGGGGATTGGGTCCAGGACTGCACTGTGCACATCCAGTCCCATGGTGTCCACTGGTTGTGCATCCACAGTTTCAACTGCAGATTTTTTGTAAACATAGTGTCCGATCAGATCAGTGATGGTTGAATCCATGGATGAGGAACCTGCGGATGAGATGGTCAGCTGTGTAGAGTTTCGTTCTTAAATTTGTTTTTCCAGGGAGAAAACTGGTCAGGGTGAAAGCAAGGTGGAGCTTGGGTAGGAGGACAGTGAGTAAGCTAAGGACCCCATTTAAATCATGTTTTTGGAGAATATGCCCACAGTTGACAACCAGCTTAAAACAATTTTTTTAATGGTTTTTCAATTGGGAGACAGGAAAGCAACAAAGGCTCAGAGTCACAAGCTTGGCTTCTGACAGGAGACAAGCCTGGAAGGAAAATTAGTGATGTGGCCAAGCTGCACACTTTGGTAGGTACATGTTCAGTGACGAGAGGCATCCCACGGCATGGCATCAGCCCCATGTAGGAGAGCTAGCCTTGGTAGCCACGTTTTTGGAAGAGAAAGTAGAAATATGGAATTTTAAGTGGATTTCCCCACTTTTTAAATATTACCAACAAATCCCTCCCCACCCTTTTCCTGTAAGATCACTAAACAGACAGACAAAACAGTAAACTCTTTTAGGCCCATGGTCTTTGCAGTGAGAGTTGAAGAATGGAGAGAAAAATGTGTAACCTAGGAGGTGGCTCAGATTCACACACTCCGGGATCCTGTGCTTTCGGGGCACATCACTGGGCACAGGGCACGCACTCCATACATTTTCACTGAATAAATAAACCTGCTGGGGTAGCCCTCTCCTGAGATATGGAGAGAGAGGAGTCAGCCTTCCCTCACCTCCAGCTCAGGAGATAGAATCAAGTCAGAACCTTTGTGGTCCTCGTTGTTGGGCCTGCCTTTGCAGCCCTTTCTCTTCTCTTTCACAGCCTCTCTGCAAGCACCTAGGGGTACATTCTTACACTAAAGTTCCAGAGTTTGCCTGGAAGTGAAGAAAATTTAAGAAATAAAAAGAAAGTGTGTACTGTTGTGCTTAAAAACAGGACCAACTCAGTGTAGCCTGTACTTCCTTTCCTCTATCAAGGTTAGTGCAGTTTTGCTTAATTTTGATAGACTCAATTATATAACAAGAAGTGATCCAGATTATGCCTTAAATTGCAACAAGGCTCTCAGAGTCTTAAAAGGACATAGAAATGTAACTCTTAGAAAATGAGTTCTTTTCTTTAAAACTGATAAGATGCTGCCCATGTAACAGTGTGGGCTTTTTGCTATTTAAAGTTAATGAGAAGACTTTTCTGAACCCTTGGGCATTCCACAGAACCTTCTTTTATATCAAATTCTGCTGGTATCCATTTATTTATTAGTACAAAAAGATTGCTGTCTTTTCTGCAAGATTATTTTTGTTGTGGTTATCAGAAATCAGTTCCAAAAATTTAAGCTCAGGTTAGGGGGCCATTTACCCTGCAGGTCCAGGGGATTCTTAAAACCCTACAGAGGATGTGCTTGGATCCGGTTGGAAACTATACGTGGGACAAGAAAGCCCTGGAACCCCTTGGGCAGAAGCCAGTTCCTTTTCTGTCCTCTGGGGTTCCGGGGCCCCCTGGGACTGGTTTACTCTGAGCAGCATCTTCACAGGTCAGTCTTTGCTCACTGGTCTTTGCCTAGACATTGAGAGCACATGGAGGAGCTTGCAGCCTGAACCAGAGTGGACCCTGTTCATCCCAGTTTCTGGTTCTCAGAGAACGAATTCAATGTCTCAGGTTGGGTCATGTGTCCAGCTTTGGCCAAAACACGAGTTTGGAGTCCCATAGTATGAACATGACTTGGCATTGGGAAATACGGTGCTTACAGAATCACCATGGGCTCGGCAGCCACTCTAGACAAAAGGCATCATCTACAATCTCCACCTCCACCCCCCAACCGAAAGAAAAAGAAAGTAAATCTATGCCTCTCAGGACTTTGGAGAACATTCAAATTATGTCTCTTTTTGTTTCATCTCCTCTCCCACCTGTAATGGGCTGTCACTTTTAAAAAACCTTTAAAAATTATATTTATTGAATGCTTATTATATAGTAGGTGGTGAATGAGTAAAAGCTATCAAGCTTTATGTTTCTGTTGTTTGGAAATATTCTCCAGTCTTCCTTTTAAATTCTCTCTCTCTTCGCAAAAGAAAATAAAACGGCTGTTTAGACAGTTTGGTGTACTGAAAAGGGAACTAAATAACACCAAAGGCCTCCGTTCTGGTTCTAGTTTCAAACCATTTATTTGCTGGGTAATCTTGAGCAAATTATGACCTCTCAGTTTGTTTCCTCAGTAGTAAAATGGAGATCATAATAACAGCTCTTTTGAACACAGTGTTATTGTGAAGATAAAATGAAAGAATATATACAAACGTGATAGTTTTTTTTTCTTTTTTCCTATTGCAGAAAGATTTCTGACCCCTATTCTGAGAAAAGTTACTATTTTTAAATGCTTATTTTTAGTAGTTGCCACTACCATTTTTCTCCAAGAATAGGGTTTCTCTTAAAGCATTTTTACAGTATTCAGGCTAGTAAATGGTGAATTCTTTTAAAAGCAAACACTATCTTGGGGGAGATTTTACAGCACTCAAGATCTGATGACTTCCTGGAATACTTGGAGATATAGCTGAAGTATTCTGATGGAAAATTGAAAACTAGCTTGACCTGGAGAAGTAAGGTCAAGCACATATGATGCCAGTGTTATTCTGTCTGCGTCTCCAGCCTACCTTGAAGGAATAACCATCAGGGAGGTGGCTATCTGTAGCATAACATCTTTAGTGGCTGCTTCTATCCTGGGAATTTGTAGTTTCCCTTGGAGTGATTTGGCATACTTGTAAAATTTGGCAAAGCTGTTTAGGATGCAAAGAAATGAATTTTGGCTCAGGACAGACATGTTAAACAGGATAGTGGCTTTTATTGGAAATAAGGCAGAAAAGAAACACTAAAATAGAAATCAGAGAAAAATTTTTAAAAGGTAAGAGACTGGGATGCAGTTTGAAATCTGAGAAACAGCTGGTTTATAAAGGTTGTAGGAATGATTACATTGCTGAATAATATTTTGTGAGTGAATAAAACAAACTGTTTAAAAAGGGAGAGGGGAGGGATATGATCCAGGAGCAACTTAAAAGCCAATAACGGTAATTATGAATAAATGTTCAAACATGGCATAAAGTTTCAGCCACTGAGTTTGGCAGAAGCTTTATTAGCACCTCAAACCTTAGAAATATTTGGCTTGCCACCTTCGAGTGTATGATAATAAATATGAGTTGAGGAAAGCAGTATTCCTGCCTCCCGACCTTGATGAATAGCTAGTGAGGATTATAGGAAGAGAAGTGTATTGCTAGTGAATTTTTCATATGAAAGCAGCCTGCCTTGTGCTTTATACTTGAACAGCATCTGTGCCATAGTTGTGTCGTTGCCCATATTTGCTGTTCTTTCTCTCCTGCTGCCTGTCAGTCTTGAACACCAGCTTAATTTCTAACTCTGGCTTGTTAATACACCAGCTTAATTTCTAACTCTGGCTTGTTAATCTCTGGTCCCTTGATTCTTTACCTCAGTGCTCCTCCCCAAATTAGTTTGAATAGTGCCCACATTCTATTTTTTTTATTTATTTTTATTAGTTGGAGGCTAATTACTTTACAATATTGTAGTGGTTTTTGCCATACATTGACATGAATCAGCCATGGATTTTAAATGTGCATGTATGGACAAGTACAAAAATACATAGATAAGGGAGTGAGTTTGTGTGTGTGTGTTTGTGTGTGTGTGTGTGTGTGCTTTTTAGAAAGATGGTTTAACTGAGCTCTTGTTTCCTGTCTGTACTATTATAAATTGCTTTTATAAACTGCTGAATGATAAAGGACAGAGAGAGCTCTCCAAATAACATTCTCACTTGGTGTGTTGTGTGTTTAAATCTGTGATTCTGACAGGTTTCATAGAAGCAGGCTTCCTGAATAGTCATTTTAAAAATTAAGTGAAAACTCATTAGTGGCAAATTACACAAAATGATTTTAAGCCCCAGGAGGCTGACTCTATGTACATATTGAGTAGTCATTTGTTCTTAGTTTACTGTATAAATATAGCCAATTAAATTCATTGTAAAAAAAAACTGAATTGTGTTTGGTATAAAACTGGTACAGTGCTTCAGATTTTAACACTTTGACATTTTAAAGCACATATAATAATTTGGGGACATCTGGCAACTAATGAGACTGTAGATTTCTGATTCATTTTATCCATTATTTCATCGCTTTGCCTGTTTTCTTTTTTTTTTTTTGTAGGTCTGAACAAAATTAAGAAGAAAGAGCTTCTACAATCACAGCAGATGAAGATCCACTAGTAAATTGATCAAGATTTTTGACCAGCCCTCCAAAGAAAAGGTAACTTGCTCTTTCACCATAGCAGGGCTGAATAAATGCTGCAGTGCCTCTGATTATAAGAGTTTGAGTTCTACCAAAGGATGGTAATTTTTAAAATTTAAGGTATCTGAGTAAGATCTTCAATTTTAAACATAACCCCGAATATGATCGTATTAATGTGAAATGATGGTGAATTTTAGAGTACAGTATTTTTAGATGTTGGTCAGATGAAAATCTTCAAAATAGCCCTCCCTCCCCCAAATTCAGTAAAATTTTTGGAATACTTTGGAGATAGGAAATCCACCCCCCCCACCCCGCCCCCATCTATCGTCACCTTTTCCTGCGAAGCTGTCTAAAGATGTGCTCTTGTGTTTTGTCCTGTTTCACTTCGCCAAACTCCTGTTTTCTTCTCTCTACAAGCAATGTAGATGCAGCTGCCCAGGGCAGGGGAGCACTTAAGGAAATTGTAAAACAGGCAGGAGGACTTTAGGCACACTTTCTGGGCCCGGTGCCTTTGCCCAGCCTGCCAGAAAGCTCTCTGCTCATGAGCAGTCCCAGATCTTCACAGAGATAGCAGCCACCGTTGGTTGAGTTCCTCACTACATGATCGCGATTTTCCACTTACTATCTGGGGCGGGGGGTGGTAAGTTTCATACAGTGTGAAAAAGGAGAAAAATTGCTGGAGGAATTTTTATTATTTAAAAAAAAAAAAAAAGATCTATGCTCCCATCTACTCTTAAAAGAAATGAGGGGGCTTCCAAGTTAAGATGCAGTTTAAGATGAGTCATTGAAGAATAAAACTGAAAAGAATCCAAACAGGAAAGGCCAAAGGAGTTTCAGCCTCTGCAACTGATCAGCTTACATATTTAGATGACAAACCGCAGTGTTTCCATCAGATTGTAGGCATCTGTAGTAAAGACAGAACCATTTTGGACAATATGAACATGCATCTTGACCATGACGAGGCAGAAACGGGAGCTTCTAGAAGGATATGGCAGTTTTTTTAAGGTGTTTAGAAGAACACAAGACTGGGTCGCTATGCAGTCTCAACCTTCAAAATAGGCCCTTAAAAATTTCCGGCCCAAAGCTGAAAGGCCAGTAGTGCAGAGGTATCTTTCAGTGATCATCACAGTCAGAACTGAGGATGGCATTCTCTGTGGAATGTCTGAAAAGTGCCAGAGAAGAGAGAAGCAGGACTTTCCTAGACGGTGGTCAGCAGCTGGAAAGGGTGGGATATGAGGCGGTGAGAGGAGAAAGTAGAGAAAAATCATATCTGACAGAAATGCTAGAGGAACTCGTTAGTCCATAATTGTTTACTGAGCTTCTGCTGTGTGCAGGATTGTCCCTGAGGAGGAAAAGAGAACAATAGGAGGTGATTTTCACAGACTACTATTCTGATGAAAAATAAAATACAATAAGATTGTTACTGTTCAGTTGCTAAGTCATGTCTGACTCTTGTCAACCCCGTGGACTGCAGCACGCCAGGCTCCTCTGTCCTCCACTGTCTCCCGGAGTTTTCTCAAATTCATGTCCAATGAGTTGGTGATGCCATCCAACCATCTCATTCTCTGCCGTGCTATTCTCTTTTTGCCTTCAATCTTTCCCAGCATCAGGGTCTTTTCCAATGAATCAGCTCTTCTCATCAGGTGGCCAAAGTATTGGAGCTTCAACTTCAGCATCAGTTCTTCCAATGAATATTCAGGGTTGATTTCCTTTAGGATTGACTGATTTGATCTCCTTGCAGTCCAGGTGACTCTCGAGAGTCTTCTCCAGCACCACAATTGAAAAGCATTAATTCTTTGGTGCTCAGCCTTCTTTATGGTCCAACTCTCTATACTGAACTTTGTTGGCAAAGTAATATCTCTGGTTTTTAATACGGTCTAGGTTTGTCATAGTTTTTCTTCCAAGGAGCAAGTGTCTTTTAGTTTTATGGCCACAGTCACTGTCTGCAGTGGTTTTGGAGCCCAAGAAAATAAAATCTGTCACTGCTTCCACATTTTCCTCTTCTGTTTGCCATGAGGTGATGGGACGAGATGCCATGATCTTATTTTTAATGTTGAGTTTCAAGCTTTTTTATTCTCCTCTTTGACCCTTATTAAAAGGCTCTATAGTTCCTTCTCACTTTCTGCCATCAGAGTGGTACATACAATAGGATACCAGGAAGCCAATGACAAGGGGTTAAAGAAGTATCACAGACTCAAGTCTGCAGGGATCAGATGTGTGGAGGAATGAAATGCACCAGGTGAAACTATGAGAAACTATTAGATTCATGACCAATCTCAAAGGGCTTACCTTTTCAGTACCAGCTGACTGTAGACTCCAAAATCCATTCAGCAAGTATTAATGGAGTGCCTGCTTACATGCTATGCTTTTCTGGGCACTGAGCATTAATTAGTAAATGAAAGGAGCACAAGCCATTGTGCCACGTACCTTTTAATGAAAAGGAACAGATAACAGATAGCAAATATAATAAGTAAATACAGTGATCTGCCTTCTGTTTTAATAAAAACCACTCTGGTCACACTATGTATCCAGTTAGGCTATAGGGAGCAAGGGTAAAAACAGTGAGAGCAGTTAAAACTGTGGTTACTGAAATAACCCAGACCCATCAAAATGTTAAGAAAATGGAAATCTTCACCTTAATGAATTTTCTTGATTGTTTTCAAAATTAGCAATGTAAGAAAAGAATTTGAGTCAACCTAAATAAGTCTGTGGGATTCTGCCATGTGGTGACACTTTGCTACTATGGGTATAGAAGTGATAAAGGAAGTAAGAGAAAGGTGAGGGCTTTGGGACAAGGCTAGCTTGGGAAAGGTCAGAGTGGATTTGAACCTCACATCAAAGCTTGATTTTGATTAGCGCATGAAACTGAACAAAGGGAAAAAATAAGGCGTGCAGCTAGTCACAGAAGTAAAAAGGTAGAACCCGAATGTCCGTCAACTGATGAATGGATCAGTAAACGATGATATATCCACACACAGTGGAATTTTATTCAGCCATAAAGTAGAAAAGTTACAGATATGTGCTCCAACCTGGGTGAAGCTTGAACCGTATGCTAACTGAAAGAAGTCAGACATAAGAGGTCACATACTGTATTGTTTCAACATTGTGAAATATCCAAAATAGGCAGGTCTATTGAGAAAGAAAACATGTGGTTTCTAGGGGCTGGGGGAGGGATGGGAGATGGGGAGTGAGCGCTTAATGGGCACAGGGTTTCCTTTCAGGGTGATGACGTGTTCCAGACAAAGCTGTGAATATGATTCATCACACTGTGAGTGTGCTCAGTGTCACTAAGTTGTCCATTTAAAATGGTTAAAAGGGTGAATTTTATGTTATGTGAATATTACCTCAGTTTTTTTAAAAAAGGACGGCATGTGGAAAAGTATTTGAAGGATATGTGTTTTACATCTTGTCTAGCTAGAGTGGAGTCTTTGTAAGGGGGTGTGACAGATGATAAAGCTAGAAGGAAAAAAAAAAGGATGTTGAGTCAGATAGTGAAAGTTGTTGACTGCCAGGCAAGCAGTTTAGATTCTCTTCTGTTGGCGCCTGTAAAACCCAGCAGTGTCCGCTCCACTAGTTCCTAAGAAGGAAACTGAAGCAAGGTTGGTACTTTGGGAACTGCAGCCTCTGGGTTGCAAAGCAAAGCAAAGCAAGCAGTCTCTGGCTTTATCAGTCTAGGATATTTCTGCTCACCTCATGGAATTTTATGATACTCTCATGGAAGTCTCCAACAAAATTAATTTAGAATTTCCTGATCTTTTAAAAAAAAATGCTTATTATAGTTCCTGATTATGAATGTTTGCTATTAAAAAATATTAGGTAACTATGTGAGGTGACTGGTACGTCAAGCTCACCTTGATTGTGGTAGTTGTTTGGAGATGTATGTGTGCATGCTTAGTCAGTCAGTTGTGTCCAACTCTTTGTGACCCCCTAGACTGTAGCCCACCAGGCCCCTCTGCCCATGGCATTTCCCAGGTGAGGACACTGGAGTGGGGGACCACTTCCTACTCCAGGGGATCTTCCTGACCCAGGGGTGGAACCTGCGTGTCTGCCTCTCCTACTTCATGAGGCAGGTGAATTCTTTATCACTGGCACCACCTGTGAAGCTGTATGAATCCACATCTGTGGATCTTTCTCACGTGTCTCAAATCATCACACTGTACACCTTAAACATACACAATCCTTTGTGTCAATTATATTTCAGTAAAGCTGGGAAAAATGTAAACATCATATAATCCCTAATAAAAAGCCTCTTTAATTACATTCCTTCCCTCTCTACTACCCATAAGTCTAGAGTTATCTGCTGTTTCCTATACATAGATTTATTGTTACTATATTTATTTTCACAAAAGTGGCACATATTATGCATAGTATTTTGTTATGTCCGTTAAAAATATTTATATCTTGGCTGTCTTCCTACTTCTTTCTTTTGGATTGCTATATTACATGCTAGACCTCCATTTGTAAAGACTACAATAAAAAAATTGAAAAGCAAATGCCATTTACCTCTTATTACAAAGAAAATACAGTATCATAAAATGTAAGAGTAACACTTGGTGAGCACTTGCTGTTTGCCAGGCATTCTTCTAACCATATTAATTTGCTCAGTCCTTGTAACAACCTGATGAGGAGGATATGGTCTGACCCTCCTTTTGCAGAGACGTTACCGAGGCACAGACAAAATGTGTCCTGTTACATTTTGGTAACAGGTCGATGGATCGTTAGTGGCAGAAATGGGCTCCAAGACCAGCCTCAGCTCCAGCTTGTTCAGTGGACCTTGTGATCAATGGTATGAGAGCATAGAGATTTTTCAAGAGAAGTCAATCTGAAATTTTGTGTGAAATTTTCCAAATTTTAATGTTGGCTTTAAAAAATAGCTTTATTGAGATATAATTTAAATGCCACACATTTACCATTTGAATCATTTTTAATACATTGACAATGTTGCACAGACAGCACCTCTATATAGGTCTAAAATTATTTCATCAGCCCCAAAGGAGACATTGTTTCCATAAAGCAGT